AAGTGATCGACAACGGAAAACTCAGAGAGGAGTTCGAAGTGCATACAGAAGTAAGACAAGGCTGCCTATTATCTCCGATGATATTCCTAATTGTGATGGACTGGATTATGCGCCAGACTGTTGGGGGCAACGAGTCAGGAATACTCTGGATGACCAATAAGAAGACTCTAAAAGATCTGGATTTTGCAGAAGATATGTGTCTAGTGTCTCACAAAGCCGAAGACTTGCAAGCCAAAACCAACAAACTGTCCGGAGAGGCAGCGAAAACAGGACTCCAAGTGAACATAGGGATGACGGAGGTGATAAAGATAACCAACCAACAGCAACAACAACCAGCAACAATCACGATCAACGGGAGAGATTTAACAAAGTTTGCCTCCTTCAGTTATCTAGGAAGCATCGTTCCAACTACAGGCGGACCGGACGAGGATGTCAAAGTAAGAATCACAAAGGCAAGATGCACCTTCATCAGCCTGAAACCAGTTTGGAAATCTTTTGCACTTTGCCTCAGCATAAGGGACAAAATTCGGATTTTCAACACAAATGTGAAGTTGGTTCTTTTCTAAGAGTCAGAAACTTTCCCTGTGTGTCACGGTAAGGATTTCTAACAGGTTGCAGATTTTCATCAACAACTGCCTTCGCTCCATACAGAAAATCAAATGGTCAGAAAGAATAAGTAGCAAAAAACTCTGGCTGGGGACAAACCAACCAAGAGCCGATTGCTCAACAAATATGTAGGGGGAAATGGAGATGGATTGGACATACGTTGAGGAGGCCGCTGAATGACATCACACGCCAGGCCATTACTCGAGCGGGATCCAAATGGGAAGCGACGAGTGGGTTGTCCGTGCGAGGGTGACATGGAGGAGACCGTGCGGGGAAGAGATGAGAGAGTTCGGTTAAACGTGAACCCAAGTCAAGAGGACGGCAGAAAAGAGAACTAGGTGGAGATGTGTAGTTGAAGGCCTATGTTCCACTCGGAACGGAAGGGAATAATAATAAATATGATAAATCGATTTATAAATCAGGTAACAAGTATTCAAAGATCTGCTAACGAAGTCAAACTGAAGTATTCTTAAATCACTATTTGCTTTGAAATTCCGATTATTTTCATAACTAATACTGAATAATAAAAAATGCTTATGGAGGTATTAAAAGAGAGTGATAAGACTAGTTAATCCTAGTGATGAGCGGTCTATATTGTAAAAGTTATAAGCTTTAAATTCCATTACTTCAACAATTCACTTAAGTTGACATTGATTCTGTTATCCTTGAGGATTATCACATATTTAAATGAAACTATCATAGATGTACTAATCGTAGAAAACTGGAAAGGATATGCATTATATACAACTTACTGATCAACATTGAGACAGGTTATATTCTCTTCGAAGAAAGAATAACTACAAAAATTTAACTTTCAACCTATCACTACTTATCAGCATTATAGTTTTATTCAAAATTGTAAGGATAAGTTACATGTCAGAAATAAGTCTATCAATGTAATTATATCCACAGGTTACTTATTTTATATTATTGTTTTAAAAATATGAATTGCCACAAGACTCAATTAACATGAGATACATATCATGTGTGTAATTTGAGCTGAATACTTTCTATGCGCAAAGGAAAGTTTACTAGTTCACATGAGATAATTTATAAAACTTTGACTTTCTACTCTGAATGCTATCTATCTATTATTTTCTTTTCTCTTTTTTGCACTTAAGTTTGAACACAAAAAACAACTACATAGTTAAGTAAAATTCATGTAATTAATTGAAAATCCCTCAAACTTTTGTTGTTTTTTGTTTTTGTTGTGAAAATCGATCTGCCAAGGTTATTTAGTTAGTATTAACCAATAGCTGTAAAGTAATTAAAATAACAGTACAAAATTGGTTGAATGACTCGAAGAAGTATGTCTTCTGATTGTTTATTACTTAGATATAATTAAGAAAAAAATGATAACTAACAAACAAGGTTTTAATTTAAGCTGGATCAGGTGATAAAACTGAAACAGATTTAGATAATAAAATAATAATAATAAAAATAATAATAAGCCTCGGTGAATACTATTTCATATTATCAAGCTTCTGGAGTGAATCAGGATAACCAACCATTTTCTCAACACTTTCTCTCTCTTTCGCTCTGTGGATAATTGAAGGAGAAATACCAGTTTCAAATAATTTAGCGGTAAGTAAACTTAACAGTTTTGTCAAATGCAATACAATGAAAAGTAGTTTTTATGCTTTAATGGTACATAGTTAACTAGAACGCTTTGAAGAGCTTATATCTTAACTACACAAATGCAAAAGGAGTTAGTCAGCTTTGGAACATTTTAGCATTTCGTCTGATCTATACATTTGATAATAATTATAATGATTTCATCATAACATATGAAGAAAAGCTGTCAATAGTTGTTTTATGCATTGGAGGCATTAGGATGCAAGCTTGTTTGGTGTGATAATAAAACCACCCATCTCCAATCGAACATTTGTAGAGAGAAGACCAGTAGTTCAGCGAAGAGTTTCTTTTCGGCAAATTTACTTTCTTAGCTGTACAATCGCAAATATATATGGGTTATTTTGTATATATTTGCTTATTAAGTTTGTCAAATAAAATCCTTGTTGGTTACAACATGGTTAAGTAAAACGGTGTATTTCAGTTTTATCACTTCTAGGTTGTATAATTTGCTGCATATTTGACTTTCTAAAACATTCATGATGAGCTACATTTAGCATCGGATTCCAGGAAATCTGCATTTTATATTTTAACATTTGATGGGTACTCCGAAAAAGCAGGGCTTGAATAGCTCACTGGTAACGTCTCTGACCGAAGTATTACGTGAGAAGAGTGTAACTCTTTGAGATGATACCGAAGTTGCAAACACTACTTGTTGACGACTGCTACTAAGCATGAAACGCAGATTGTCGGTCACCTACCAATCGCTTCTAGACATCTGATAAATTTTTCTATCTATAACATATTCATCCCTTTGTATGCTAATATTCATCTTGGTATTATAAATGCATACATAAATTATTAGAAGTAACATAGAATCCAACCAGCTGTCTTAATTTTATTGAGGATGGATATGACTACGTGAATCACAATCAGCTGATGGCATAGGACATGTTGCCAATCCGTTGGAGTACAGAGGATTGTCAATAAACTACAATTTAGACAACTGTCCCAATAAACAGAATACTCAAGAGTTAAATGAAAACTTATTATATTACTTTTATACCTACAGTCTGGGATTTTTAATAATTGTTTTACGTGACTTAACCAACTGTGGGTATCTGCAATATCTATAGCTTTAGATAACAGTGATAAAGGCAACTGTAAAGGCTTTATATCATTAAGAAACACTATCTTGACACATGAGATGATAACTTATTTTGACAAAATCATTTTAACTAGGGTAGTTTCAGCCAATAGAATTATTCTCCATAACAGAGAATGGTTAGTCAAACTAAAAGATGGCGCACAGAGCTTTCCTATAATCAAGCCGGTAGAAAACTAGCTACCTAGCGACAAACAGCCATCTCGTAACCATTTCTAAGCATCACGCATTACCTTGTATACACAAATACAAGTTCTTAGTAATAACTACTGTTGTGTTACTGTCATAAGAATTTGAAAGGGACTGACTGTGCTAGGTTTACCTTAATCTGATGACATTTTGACAGTGGTTTAAAAGAAAAAGAAGAAGCATATTTTGGAATATGCTTCTTGGAAGTTTCTGAAGTAGTACCTTAATTAGCTTTGAGATTACTCAATACCGGCGTAGAATGATCTGTCAAACGAAACATAAAATCTAATTTTGTAACGCTTCACCTTCTGGTAGATGAAGTTATTAATTTGAATCAAAAATCTAGTTTTTGTTTACAAGAGTATTTGAAATCGCTCAGAAAATTTTAAAGCTTTATTCACTAACATTCAGGTTGTTGAAAATCAGCCAATCCATGATGAATATTTTATATCAGAAGGCATTGAACATGAAACACTAGTTCACTTGAACCGCATACTTGTTATAGCCTCTAAAGAAGCTTCTCTTGAGATTATAATCTGTAAGGATTGGAGCTAACTTCATGCCTCTGTGGTTAACAGTCTAGTCATAAGCTTTACGAAGTTGACGCCAAGTAATATACTCTCAGTTGGAACAAGAGTTTATTCAAATTAGTAGATCCTTCTTATTAGTGAATGACGGAAATCACCAGATTCAGATAAGGCGAAGAACCCCGCCAACAACAGAAGCTTAATAACCTGCTTCTAGATAATGTGCGTCAATGGTTTAATAGTGCGATCGATGCTCATTAACTACGTGTGTGGTCCGGGCCCGATTCTCAGTCAACACACTTCTAAACCTTGCTTAGTCAATACTGTGCCCGTAGACAGGGAAGGTTGATAGTGAGGTTGTCAATTCCACTCCATAATGGAAAAAAAAGCTGCTACTGAAACTTCAAACCTGAAGTTTGAAGCCTTCTTCTCCACTCAGAACGTAAAAGAATGAGAAGAAAGGTGATAGACCGCGTGCAGTGTTTCTTCAGCAGTATACTATACTCTCCTATCTATGCTCAAATGGTTAATGATGAGGCTTGCACCGAAATTCAAGTAGAAACCTTTCGATTACACCACTACTAATCCATTCTCATTTAGGAATAAATTATTATTATCGTTATTATTATAGAGAATCAAAATAATTAGCGAAGTCTATATAAATTATTTTGTTATATATAATTAACAATTTTGTAGAAATGAATATCAGCAGATTCTTCGCATGCATTATGTTTTTAGCCGATAGAATTCATGGTATCTTATTTAAATACATAAGTTTGTAATACATGTAGAAATAAAAATAATTCTTTTATTATTTGTGCCTACAGATTAAATGCTTCTTCTTCCAAACTACGTAAATGACAATTAAAACACGGGAGTTTTAAAAGACAGTCATTATTGTCATCATTATCAATAACATAATTAAAACAAATCAAAAAAATATGCTTACTGCACATTCACTTGTTACAGTGAGTTATTCATTTGCTATTAACTGTACTAAATGTGTTTACCATTTCATTATTTTAAACTAGTGTGTAATAAGTAGAATTAAAACAAAAATATGACTTGTTGAAGGATTTAGGCGGATAGACGTCGGCTTAAATTTGTTCCTTGTTGAAGTCACATCTCCTTACCGATGAAAAGTTTCAAACAAGGGATGAAACAGCTGTTTAGTTTAGTCTCTGGTTTCCAGTGGTTCTTTGAATGATGTCAACTTGGCACCCAACTCAAAATTAATTTAAAAATGCCCGGAAATATAGAGTATTAGCTCAGATAATCAAATTAGTTCTATTTTTAATTAATGCAGATATTTAGTTCAACATGAGTTTTTGTTCTAGACGAAATATATCTCACTGAATTTCTATCATTCTATTCATTTCTTTGAACATTGATCCTTTATGAATTGTTTAAAACGGGCGTGTAGTATTTGGTAACTTGGAGCATGATAACAAATTCAATTTTTAACTGGAAACTTTCATTTTTACTATGTTGATATAATCTTGAATGAGTGAATCTAAAGTTTTCGTCTGCATTATTGCTGTTATCTTCGTCATGCCTAGGGAAAGGGAAGGCGTGGCAATTAGGCTTAGCTTAAATAGTAAGGGTAGAACTAGCGATTCGGAGGCCGCTGATATGAAATCTTACATAAGACATATATTCATTTCACCTATGAACATAAATCATTATGTTAAATGACTATTAATAAGCTTAAAAATCCTGACTGAATTCATTGAAAAGTGACTCTAATATGTGATATCATTCTAAGGCTGCATAATTCGACACAAAATACGTTTCTATAGCAAAGAAAAAATGTGTCTAAACACGTGTTAGTAAAACTATAGGTTTTAAATACCAATCAAGAAAATTCACATTCCGTATATTACGAATATTATCACGTAAAAAGAGTGAGAAACTCTAAAATTTAGAATCACTCGATTGTCATGCGTAACCTGAAATTCCAATGAAACTTGTCTGCAGACATTCGTTTTGTTGTAATGATAATGTACCTATTATAATTAATTTCATTCCTGGAGGTTCTTAGTGAACCGCAAAGCTTCAAGCATTAGCTCTAAAGCGTCAGTAGCAGTACACTATTTGCAGGCATATATATGCTGTGCTCATTCCCAGTCCTCCATCGTTATAGTCCTTATTGCTGGCCAAACGAGGCGAAAGAGTGTGCCACAGAGATTATCGAAAACCTTAGAATTACAACAGTTAAACTGCTTCCCAAAAATTAACCACTGACGAACTTTAGGAAAAATCACACAATCAAAGCTATGGTTTCAAATAAAAAAGCCGAGAAGACTAACTGCACATTGAACATGTTTTCCTTAACATAGTATGTAACCACACTACGTCAAACATCCCATTTGCAAACATACATAATCACTGAATCAAGCACATCATCCTCTAAATTGATTCACACCTATACACACCGATATAGCTTAACTATTCCCCATAAATATAAGGTAACATGTATCAATAATTTAGAAACATTTTACACTAAAATCACATACAGTACACAAGCCTAATTTATCAAGGTCTTCTACATGCCTGGCGATAAAAATAATCGAAAACACATCACGAATTTCACGATCATATGTAAGATAACATAACTATCTAATTCGTATCAACTTATCTTCTAAAATACATCACATCAGAAATAATTGATGAGAGTGGAACGTTGAAATATATGCTAATAATATCATTCTTAAACTAAGGTCAATGAGAATTTCAGTAAAATAATATTCATTGTAGTTAAATATTCACATGCATTGTTGTTGGTGCTATCGCTGTTATATCATTAACTGAAATGAATGAATACAGCTGTTGAATGAATACTGTTCATGCAGCAAACATATCCAAATTTATCAGTTCCCAAGAAATATACACACATCTATTGCCATCATAACTGATATTCCAAACAATTCCAATGGACAACAATACGACCTTCAGCTGTTTAAGTATTAAATGCAAATATCCTGTCAATCAGTTCAATAAAGATGAATTAGTCAGTCGTGGTGACATATACACGCAAATATGTGTTTGTCTGTTTAGAGGCTGTTTCTGAAAAACTACAATAGCGATAATCAATGACAGTTATTATGATAACATATATTGGGTCATTCAATGAAGACGTGAGAAATGCATAACGCTACTATTACATAATTCCGTAAAACTTGATTCCACTTTTCATAGTACTCATCTTGAAAATGTCAATCATGAATATCACTATGAGTCGAGAGAACGTCTTTCACCTAGTTTCATCATCATAACTACTATTATTATTATCACTATCCTCGTCGCTACTGGAATGAGACTGCTTCTATTAATGTCTATTTATAAATAAATACATAAATCTAAAGCTAAAAATGACATAATTTCTATGTATGCATTACAGATTAGGCATTTGAAGCTCATTATTTCAATTTTCATCAATAAATACATATACGCGCTTATTACCACTGGTGTGTCGTACAACACAGACTTTATTTCTGTGCATCTAATTTTAGACATTGCAAATTACAGATTGCAAACTATTCACATAAGAATAATAATAATAATGATGAAATCAAAAAGCTTTCACTTGTTGCAGATCTTAACTTAGAACTATAAACTACAGTTTATTGTGTATACAAAAGAGATGTTGTATGTACAACTGCTGATAATTTCTTGTTAGTAGTACATACATTGTTCTCTACGATAAGGATGAATGTTAATGGATGACAGTAGTGATTGACTATCGAAAACAAAGAGGATGGCTTGAAAGAAACTGCATGTCAAGACACCATTGGAGTTAATGTCTGACAGGAAGTTAACTGTCAATTGTACGTAGGAATTCGTCTCATGCATCTAACGATGTATTCACGGTTTGAATTTCAAATATTCACACTGATTGAAATTGTGTTTTTGTACACGACAAATTCATACAATGTGGTGACCATAAGCAAGTGTTATCACTGAACACATACTTTTACTTATTATTCAGCTTTCTCTTCATTTCACAGTTTCTAACATGATTTTCGTGAAACATACTTCACACGGAAGGAAGAACTAATACTGAGATACTATTTAAATACTTGTTTCGTAACAAGGTTAATAAAAGAAAAGACGTTCAGTGAAGGGTTACTCTTTCCAGCGAAATCATTTTCAAGCTGTACAATCACATAAATGCAGTATATTACTCTATTATAGAGAAAATGTATTTTTTTAATGTCCCATGGTGTCATACAGTAATATTTACTAATGACGCTTTGAACATAATTTACTGCTTAAAATCACATTAAGTTATACACACAGATTTCTTGTTTATCAACAAACTCACATGACTTTTTCAAACAGTAACGAATTCATAAACCGTCGAATATTTAACAGTCGATGCTTAAAAATTAAATCAGTCCTAAACACCTATGCCTATACACTACAATTACGTCAAAAATATAAAATCAGAAGCGCAATAATTCAGCAGAGTATGTAGTTGTGAAGAACTACAGAATTATTGTGAGGCTAAACAATATACGAAATGAAATCGCAAATTTCAAACACGAACTCATATGTATGATTGATGACAAAAATTATCCAATTATGACTGAAACATCCAAAAGAGCCAGAGAAACAACCTAAACGAAATCAGAAACTAAGCAAATTAAGAATTTTACAAATGATCATAAGAAAGTAAGAAGACATTAAGTGAAGACGTTAAACACGTGGACAAAAACTCAATTTCAATCAGTGTGAATATTTGAAATTCAAACCGTGAATACATCGTTAGATGCATGAGACGAATTCCTACGTACAATTGACAGTTAACTTCCTGTCAAACATTAACTCCAATGGTGTCTTGACATGCAGTTTCTTTCAAGCCATCCTCTTTGTTTTCGATAGTCAATCACTACTGTCATCCATTAACATTCATCCTTATCGTAGAGAACAATGTATGTACTACTAACAAGAAATTATCAGCAGTTGTACATACAACATCTCTTTTGTATACACAATAAACTGTAGTTTATAGTTCTAAGTTAAGATCTGCAACAAGTGAAAGCTTTTTGATTTCATCATTATTATTATTATTCTTATGTGAATAGTTTGCAATCTGTAATTTGCAATGTCTAAAATTAGATGCACAGAAATAAAGTCTGTGTCGTACGACACACCTGTGGTAATAAGCGCGTATATGTATGTATTGATGAAAATTGAAATAATGAGTTTCAAATGCCTAATCTGTAATGCATACATAGAAATTATGTCATTTTTAGCTTTAGATTTATGTATTTATTTATAAATAGACATATAAATAGACGATACCGCTGAGAAGAGTAACTCTTCATCGAACGTTCTCTTTTGAATTGCTTAATGGGAAATTTTAAGGTTAGTGAGATCTACTAATCAATAAAGTTTTAGATGATCACTTTTAGTTTAGAATAATGCCTAATTCTAAAACACCGCATATGTTTCTGATTTCTTCTTCTTTCCTGCGCAAAACTTTAGCCTCATTACTAAATGAGAAATCATTTTTTAAATTACACATTTTCCAGTTTCCTGCTGTATACACCTATTCATAATGAACATTATGGATGAATCGGTGATTGCTTCATTGAGCTTATCTACTTATAAAGGAACCATGCAATTTAACCTAATCTAATCGATAAGATACAGACTTTTATTTGCGCTCTTAGTGATATAAAGCTTAAGCAAGTTTCAGTTCATAATATAGGCGTGATACCTCTTTTCAGACTACTCACGCTGATAGTCTAACAATGCCACTCAACAAACTGTATGCTCCGAGTATGATCTTTGGTGGGATCGTAGATGCATAACTGCTGAAAAGTCCCAAAGAATAAGGAGAGAGCTATGTAGATTTCAGCAGTTCTATAACTGATGTCGGGTCATGATATAACTTGAGACCGATCAAATGCCTTTAAATCGACAATTGAAAACCTTTAAATTTGTTGAGAAACTAAATTTA